CATAATATGTAACTAACCTTCTTACAAATGGTGAGATGTTACGTGTATACCTTCTGTCTTTCTAAACAAACGTTCTGGTTATCTGGAATCAGATTTGCAAGTGCCCCATACGCATCTTTTCACCATTTTATTGTTGCGTCTCTATATAAACTATAGTATGTCCTACCATGTGTTTGTCCGAATTTTTGTCATTTGATGATTTTGATCACGTGTTTTTGGCACGTCTGACCGTCGGAAAGGTGTTTGGGGCAGCCTCACTAAAGACGATCTGAAGCAAGCTGTTAACGCAGCCTATGAAGAAGTGGTTTTTTGGCGCAAAAATCTGTTTATGTTACCAAGTGGAGCTGCTGGAAAGTCATACGTCAGGGAACTGGAGAGACTGATTAACGCTTGGAACAGTAACTCGGAGATCTTGCATTAATATTTCTTTAAAACTTACTATGATCATGCTTGCTCTTCTCTTGCAAAAACCGAGTTTCAAATCGAGATCGAAAGACCATGTGACTTGCCTGTCTCGGCGCATGGCTTTGTGGCAAAAAGGGAACTTTGATGGGTTACTTCGGGAATGTAGAACCATCCAGTCGACACTACTGGCTACTAGAAAGGTTTCGAATGAACAGCTTTCCAAGACCTTCGCTAGTCTCATGTTTCGTGGCAAAGTGAACGCAGCTCTACGTTTGTTGGATGAACAATCATCTGGTGGAGTTCTTCCTCTTAATGACGCTGTGTACAAGGACCTCTTGCAGAAACATCCACCTGCACAACCTTAGGATCACTCATACAATTGACGTATATGCGCAGGTTCACATCGTCTTTCGATCTCCATCATGATTGATGGTGAAATTCCGTATGTTGATCCATCGTTATTCGCCAACATTGACGACAGCCATAGCAAAAGCAGCATTGAGGACTCGAGGAGCTGCTGGTCCTTCAGGTCTTGACGCACTTGAATGGCGGCATATTTTGGTGTCTCGCAACTATGGAGTTGCTGGAAAAGACGATCGGCAATAGCGTTAATGGCGAGAACACTAGCAACCAAGAAGGTCGTTATTGGAGCAGATCAGACCACCAGCTTAGAGGCCTTTTTAGCGTGTCGCTTAATACCTCTGGACAAGAACCCTGGCGTCAGACTGATTGGGATTGGAGAGGTTCTACGAAGGATAATTGGAAAATCAATTGTCTTTGCCATCAAGCCACAAATCATGGATAGCGCAGGAGACTTACAGCTATGTGCAGGACAACAATCTGGCTGCGAGGCTGCTGTTCACGCCATGTCGACGATTTTTGAAGAAGAAGAAACAGATGCTGTTTACTTGTGGACGCCACCAATGCGTTCAATTCCATCAACCGCAAGATCATGTTACATAACATTCAGTACATTTGTCCCGCAATGGCTGTTTATACATTCAACTGTTATGAAACAGCTTCAAGATTGTTCGTGCAAGGTGGTAAAGAAATCACATCAGCGAAAGGTACCACACAAGGTGATCCGCTAGCTATCCGTTGCCATTACTCCACTCCTGCTCATGATTAAATCTGATGAAGCTAGTGATGTAAGGCATGTTGCGTACGCGGATGACCTTAGTGGTGCAGGTAAGCTAATGCAACTGCGTGCCTGGTGGGAGAAGATTGCCGTGCATGATCCGAGTCTTGGATACTACCCGCGAGCTGATAAATCCTGGTTGATTGTGAAGCCACAGCTGGAGCAGACTGCCATTGAGATCTTCGCTGGAACTAATGTACGAATTTCAAGTGAAGGGCATAAGCACCTTGGAGGATATCTTGGATCGGATGATGGAAAAGATAAGTATATAAGTTCTTTACTTAATAAATGGTGCCAGCAACTTCACGTTTTGAGTGAAATTGCCAAATTCCAACCCCAAGCAGCGTACACGGCGTTTGTCTCAGGTTTTCGGCACAGATTTACCTACCACATTCGTGCTGTTTCAGTTATCAAGACCGTGATGCAGCTTGTTGACGACACCATCAACCTGAAGCTTTTTCCTGCGCTCCTCGACAACCGTAGCTTGTCCATCCATGAGCGACAATTGGTTTTGCTTCCAGCTCGTATGGGAGGTCTTGGTATTCCAATCTTTAATAACATCTGTGATGAAGAAAATTTTAACTCCACAACCATCTGTCATGTTCTCTTAAGTAGAATCATCCACCAGAATGGTACACCATCAGCAGAACATGCAGATTCCATCCACGATCTTCGTCGTGAGATTGCAAAACAACTTCAAGTTGGGAACTCGTTGCTGCTACAGAACTTGAGATCTTGCATGAGTGAAGAGCAGATTCGAGCAAATGACCTCGCCCAGTTGAAAGGATCCTCAGCGTGGCTGACAGCTCTGCCACTTTCTGATGAGGGCTACATCTTGACCAAGCGTGAGTTCTTTGATGCGATCTACATGCGTTATCGATGGCCTTTGAAACGCCTTCCATCTTTCTGCGCCTGTGGAAAATCGTTCACGGTCGATCATGCCCTGTCGTGCCTGAAAGGGGCTTTATCCATCGAGGACATGATGAGATCCGTGATCTACTGCTACTGCTATCGATGACGTTGCTTACGATGTTTCAATTGAACCTGCCCTTGCTCCTTTGATTGGCGAAGTTCTTCCATCCAGTGCTAACTCAGCCGATTTTGACAGATGGTCTTTGAGTTCTCATTTTCTTCATCGCACAGGTCGGAGAAGATAGGTATTCCAAGACCCCCCATTCTCGTCGGCAGTGACAGTAACCTCCTCTCATGGATGGAAACACTACGGTGGTCTAGGAGCGCTGGCAGGAGCTTCGGGCTGATGGAATCATCTACCACTCGCATCGCAGTCTTGATACTTGGAATAGTGCGTATATGGTAAGTAAATCTGTGCCGAAACCCTGATACAAAGGCAGCATATGCAGCTTGGGGCTCAAATTTAGCAATTTCACTTAAAACGTGGAGTTGCTGACACCATTTACTAACTAAAGACGAAATTTACTTATTTTTCCCATCTTCAGAACGAAGATATCCTCCAAGGTACTTATGTCCTTCAGTTGTTATACGAACACCAGTTCCAGCGAACATCTCTTTGGCAGTCTGCTCCAGGTGCGGCTTCACAATCAACCAGGATTTGTCAGCACGCGGATAGTAACCAAGACGGGGACCATAAATAGCAATGTTCTTCCACCAGGAACGCAAATGAGCAAGTCTACCGGCACCACTAAGGTCATCAGCAAAGGCAACATGTCGAACATCACTAGCTTATTGTTGCTTATTTAACTACGAAGGGAAGGCGGGTGCAAGGTCTTAAAGCTTTGGCTAAGAAGAAAATGAAAGCTAAGATTGAAATGCGTTATGACAAAGAAGAAGATGACAAGTTCAAAGGAAGCAAGAATTGGTTTCAAAGATTCAAAAGGAGGCATGGAATTTCATTCAGACGGACATCAAATAAGAAGAAGGATTCTGCAGATGATGGAAGAGAAACAATTCAAACGTTTCATCTGAATTTAAGAAAGGCAGTAAAGTCGAAAAGAAGAAGAACCAACTCAACTTTGGATGCCAAGTATGGGCGGTGGTTGCCACAGAATCGATATAATGTTGATCAAGTTCCTCTGCCTTTTTTAGTAGATCAGAATAAAACCTAGATACTACAGGCAACAAGCAGGTTCGTGTGTCCCAACCTTCCACTGGCTTAGATAAGAGACAGGCTACTCTACAGCTCTGCATATGGGCAGAGGGACAACAGAATGTTAAGCCTGCAATTGTGTTCAGGGGAAAAGGAAATATTTCTAATGCAGAGAAGGCACAGTACGACAAAGGAGTAGATGTGTATTTCCAAAGAAATATCGCATTAGCATTAAACAAATCTTGAATCTTATCGCAGTCAAGATTATCTTATCTTATCTTATTTATATTATTTGTGCTGTTTTGATAGTGTAGGCGTTTAGCTATAGTGAAGTATTGACTCTCACTTCAGTATTTCTGCTCAAAACTCAGAAAAAGTAAAAAGCACTGGCTTCAATTTTCCCCCCTGGGTTATCATTCCAGTTTGTTTACAGTTCAATGGTGCCCGCGCGCTCGCGTTTTTTTCAGCTGACCTCTATGCAATAACTGAATGCAACATTATTTTTTACTATTAAAACGCCTGGGTACGAGGCTGGTAATACGCCGAAAATTAACATTTTAATGTTTCATTTAGCCCCCACTGTCTCGTTTTGCCCCGCATTACCCTAATGCAGCAGGAAAACGGGTGATTTCACTTCACCTTTTAATACGACTGTGTTTGTTTCCGAAAAATTTGAAACATTAGCTATCGGCTTTACATTTAATTTAGGCCATTTCAAAATATTGAAGGTTAGTTCTGGCTAGCCCAGGAAATATTTTGCTTCGTTTGAAATGGCGAGGGGTTGCTGCATGCATGTATTTCTAGTACAGAGTATTCAAAATGTAAAGGTAAGAAACGTACTGTACAAATGGAGTGAAATAAACATAATAGTTTCCTGGTTGCCAAATTTACATCTCTCAAAAGTAGAATTGCATTAAAGTTGCAAGAAAAATTACACCATGTAACATGGCCTTTAGTCCTAAACATTTTTTAGCTATATAAAAAATTGGGATTTTTTTAGCATTTTAAAGCATCAATACCCAATGGCGATATGTATCGTTTTGTGCCAAATACATAACATACTAATTCATACTAACACATTATTATGCATTCGTAACTTCTATTTTTTATGTTTTCCCCCAAATTATGTGGCTATATTACGTATGGATGTGATGTACATATTTTGTTGCAGAGTGTATGCCTCATAGCTACGCTATTGTTGCTACGCTATTTTATCACTATTTTATAATATACTCATAAATTTTTATTACTTCGGCGTCAGCGACGGAGTTGAAAATTCGCCTAGGTTTCGCTTTTATCTCATTTCATTTCATTTCATTTCATCATCTCCTTTCCTCCATCCCATACCACCCCACCCCACCCCATGTTTAACCAGGTGCATTGCGTTTTCAGAGCTAACAAGTTCCTCGAAAAATGACCCAAATTGCAAATTTTTGGCATTCATGTCCTGCTCTCATTATGACCCCCCTGAACAGATCAATGCCGAGGACATCCCACGCTACGTAAAGGCGCACACTGCCCTGGGGTGGGGGGCAGCTTGGCTTATTTGGTACAGCTGGGCTACACACCTGGGCTGAAGATGTGGGGGAGTTGGTAAAATGTTTTACTGACCAAAGAGAAATCGATAAAAGGAAACTTTTTGACGACAGCGCCAAAAGGTATTGTGCTGTAATTATTTTAAAGATCCCTGTGTTGAAAAATGTTATGTTTGTTTGTTACGCACTATACAGGGTGTTTCACAAAAAAAGTATGCTCTTCAAAAAAGTAGAGGGTTCCCCAGATTAGGGAAAACATTTAGAAAACCTATAATTCTTTAATGTTCTTGGGACAACTAGCATTAAAAGTGGGCTAAGAAGCTAGCTTTTTTTTATATGAGAACGTTGTTTTGAACACAAAATATGGACTGTGCTGCTCAGTGCTCAAGCTGTAAAATTAATGTTTATGAGGAAATTTGGTGCACATGTTTGACAACGTGAGATCTTCAAACTGGTTTTTTTACCATTTTTAAAAGCCAAACAAGTTTTGTTTTTTTTCTAATTTTTATGTTCCCTTGTTCCCTTGTGAACAATATTCCCTTGCTGGCAATATCGTGACGCAATGTTGCAATTTTGATTAAGTTAGTCCTATGAATTAACTTTGGGGCTTATTAAATAATTTGTTTCTTAAAGCTTGGGAAACAGGAGTCAAAACTTTCAAGTATACTCATACTGCTGGCAAACAAACGAGCTTTTAGAAAACTATCTGATGTACTACATTACATATGGAACGTACAGATTGTATATTGTAATCTTTCAATTTAATCAGATATCACATAAAGTATACCTCAATAAGTGATCCATGCAGTTTGCATGTTTATAAATTATTATAATTGCATGCATTTGTATATTTAATAAATTATTATTGTCCGAACACCAGGTTCATGCATTGAACTCACGTAATTGATTCTACGGCTACGCAATGGTTTTGGCATCGGGTATGCCAAGATCAATTTTTTCTAATATTCCGCCTTTCTGATTTTTCTAATTCCTCGCCAAAATGAACGCACTTTTTATATACTTTGGCATACATTTTAACGTTTATCCAATCTTTCGCAGTCAGGGTATCCAGGGTATCTATGACCATGTAGATGAATATCCTCTAGAAATTTTACTTACGTATATGTCCCCAATCTTCATTTTTTAGGGGAACATTCTGGGCGAATTACTCTACAACTCTTGGCGCAGCTCTCCACGAACTTGGTCACTGCTTTGATCTAATGCACATGCCAGAAGGAATAATGGCAAAGGATTTGACGATATACATCACTTCGCAGTGATTGCTCCATCGCCCCGTCATTGCTTATCCCCAGCAGATTCGACTGTTGACTGCAATGAGGTAGTTAAGGCGTTGCGGATGTTCGCTGACCATAGCGCTCACTGGTTTAGATCATCTGCTGTTCTTTTGCATTATCATAGGTATGTTACGCTGCCTGATTCCTAGGGCTAATATACCTATAGAAGTAGCTAGGGCCGGTACCCCAGTAAAATCTTGGCCCAACCTGAGAAACTTCATTCTAAGAAGAAGTGAATCCATGTTTTGTAACTTCGAACCGTCAATAATGCAAATTTTATACATTTCGTGTGTATTGTCGTTCTTGATTGGTCAGAAAGCACTGGTAATTTCAGTTGTTGATGTGCTCAGCGGCCAATAGTAATTTTTTTATAACTCACGTTTGCAACACGAACCCAGGAGGGCTCGAAAATAAAAAAAACGAAATGTCTCATAGCCGATTTGCACGTCTCGATGAAAACATACACGATAAACTTCGTTTAATGGTTTTATAGGGACGTTTCTTACGTCTTTAAATGTATAATAAATCAATGGACCACTTGCATAATAGACCAACTTTTTGATTTAGGCGACAAAAACGGAATTTCCGAAAAGATGATTCTAACTTAGTAACACTGCTAAGTTTGGCTGCGAAATAATTTATTGTAAAGTACCGAAGATTCAGCCATGTGAAGTTGGCAAAATTTGTATACTTTTGTATTATGGCCGGAAGAGTGTAATTAAATTAATTATACGCTTCCGTTAGTAGTACAAAAGTATACAAAAATTGCCTACTTTCAGGTTCGCATGGCTTCCGTACTATTTGACATTTTGCAGTCAACATGGAAATTATAATAACAATTATACTAATTTTAGTATGCTCTTTCTAACTGTAGTAATTTCCCCCCTTCTTGTTACCTAGATCACAAGTTGGTCTATTATCAAGTGGTCAACATTATTGCATTCGGCTTTTGCACGACATCAAGAATTATTCAGACCTCATATAATAATTGTCTTCCCCAAGGTGATCTTGCCCAACTAAATTGTCTATAAGTAATGCTACAGAATCCTCCGCTGAATAGTGCTTTTTCTTGTGTCACACTGACGTCTGGCCTTACTTCTTTCCCTTCCTCCACACTTTCTCGTTTCAAACACTATATCTTTTGACCTCCTAAACAACCGTCTGCAATTAGTTACTTACACAGCGTTTCCATCATTCTACATAAATGTTCAAGGTGGCTCAATCCATATTCCGCTGCACTCTTAACGCCTCAGTCATTCCCTTTCGTGAACTGGTCACCTGACGTAAAAGGGCCAATAGGAAACAGCGGTGGAAGGCAAGACAACCAATCATATTTTGATGACATAACTTGGTATAAGTCAAGAAATTTAGCTCCAACTGGATATGTCATCTATCATGGGGAATATATCAATGCTATAAAACCACTAGCGGATGAAGAGAATGAAGGTAAATAAAATTTAAGAGAATGAAATTATTTTAGGGTTACATTTCTTAAATGCGGGCCCGGTTGTAAAAAAGGGAAATAATAGATAGTTTAATAGTAAAAGATAATTAGTTAACTAATGATTAAGCACGCAAAATATTTAGTTATTACCTCTAGTTTATCAATAGAGCATCTCGGCCATTAGTTTATCCACAGAGCATCAAGTATTGGTCCTTTATACCGTTAAAACTGTGCCTGTAGACAATTACTGTACGTCCAAATATTTAATTCAGAAAGGTCTAACTTAATTTTTGGTATATTATATGAATGTCTGCACTTGTGAGATTTGAACAAGATATTACAGGATGATCTTTTTTCCTAATTTAAGGATAATTTATGTTAGGTCTATCATCAGGGAATTAGACATGGAATGATTTTATTTCAATTTTTTTAAAATCTTTTCCATGCTAATTTGTCTATCAAAGGCTGTCCAGTGTATGGAGTGATCGACCGGAAATGTTCAACGCATACATTTCACTTGGAACAGGGCGAATATCTTACTTCTCTCGAGGTACGTGCTGGCGCGTGGATTGATGGGATACGCTTTCACTCAAATATGAAATCTTCTATATGGTTTGGAGGACAAGGCGGAGATTGGTATCGAATGACACCAGCATACGGAGAAACTATCACCGGAATCTTTGGAACTTATGGGAAATATGTTGGATCGCTGGGCGTTCGTTTAAGGTTTTAAACATTTCCGACTTGATTTGTACTAGATTGCTAGCTGAATTATGTAATTCTAAAATATTTTCTCTAAATATCCCAGAGGAAAGATATTTTATTTATTCAGTGCTATTGCCACCTTATGCACTAACGCCTAGCTACATATAGTCAAACTACATCTATGCACAACACAATAAACAAATTAAGATGCATCTTAATTTGTTAGTGTGACTTGTATTACACGGTTGCTTTATATACTGCAGATGTACACAACAACGAGAATGTTAATTGTTGGAGCTGTTTTTCACTAGGCGAAATTTTTCGATGGAACGAAAATTTTCGCTTGATTCTTCTTTCAATTTTGACCGTTCAAGGAAATAATAATAATTTAATAATTTACAACTTATATATCGCAATTTAGCATGCATCGCGATATCAGATCAAATGCGAATAGTCCACTACGGTCGAATTGTTACAATTGAAAAGAAAATCATTCGAAAAACTCTTTGTTCGAGCGAAAATTTAACCTATAGTGGAAAACCGCCCTTAACAGTTTTAAACACAAATAAGGTTTGAAAAATGACCGATATCATATCATATCCATGCCATGACGACCATCTCTTTATTTCGAGAGAACAAGTAGAATCTCTACAATTTTTCGAAACGGGTTTCTCGCTATACGTTGGAAAACAGGCCTAATTCCAAACTTATGTGACACCCAGAATGTGTAAATAGCTGTAAACTTTTTATTTGGAGGTAATGAATGAATGAATGATCATTAATGATCATCCTTCATATTTAATCGACATGTAATTTAGTATTTTTTTCTCCTTCTAGTAAGTGCTCCGATATGTCTATCTTCACTTCAACACCCACTATCCAATCAGATATTGGGATTGGTTTGGTAGAATTGCGTGAGAATGATGAACTGCTGGACTTCCGAGAGTTTGTCCAGCGCGCAGTTACGGTGTTTAGTTTGCCCGAGTCTTGGTGGAACCTGGGCACGAATGGAAAGGAACTGTGTTTAGTGACAGTAGATGTTGGCGGTAACATTTCAAGATTTTGTTTTGTTGGATATGAAAAGTTCGTGGAGAATTGTTCTCTGGTACACACAATCACAGACGCAGATGATTTGAAGGTTTTAGAATCCCGTTAATCTTAGTGCCAAAGCCAGGAAATGGTAAAGAGCCAACTGCACCTCTTTTCTTTTACGAGAAGGCGCAAATATCCTCTGTTGTGCATGAAGATACATTTGTTTTGCATTTTAGGTGTTCACTATAGGGGCTGCCAATTTAGCTCCTCGGATCTTCTTTCATAAATTCTGCCCGCAATCAATATCGCAGCCCTATTTTATTATTTTTGCAATTTGTTTAAAAGATAATCTGAACAATCCCTAACAAGCCTGCAATTATCAAAATGTGTCATCACAATAGCTTTTTATATGTTACCCTTACCGCTGTTCCTTTATGCCAATGTCATTACACAACACACAGGATATACAGAATGTAACTCCAATGTTCTTTTAATCGCGTTTATATCACAAAGGACAGCTTACTTTCTTCGTTTCTAAAGCCTATATTAATATAATTAAGGCAACACAGATGGCAGATATATAATTGAATAGCGGAAATATATTTCCAATTGCATGAGTGTACATCAGAAATATCTGAGAAATATCTGTTTAGTATTTTCAGTACGCAAAAATATTTCCTATTACGCAGAAATATTTCCAGTATGCAAAAATATTTTTTCAGTGCCCAGAAATATTTCCCAGTACGCAGAAATATATTTTCAGTACGCAAATATTCAGATACATACCGACTTTAAGACCACATTCAGATATACAAAGATATACTGAGAGATAAATATGTTATTCACTGGCCGTGAGGTCCGGGTTCAAAAATCAGGACTGAGAGCACAGTTTTTTATCCGGACCTCGTAGCCGGTAAATAACGTTTTTATTTTAAAAAATAAAAACCTTGTGTAAGTTAAAAATAATTATGGGTTATACGAGAAAATATTTTCAATAAATGCCGCCTTTCTGTTACCAAGGGAATCGCAAATAGAAATTCTCGTAATAACTAGGTAACATGTATTTCACGCATTATAATTCTAAAATCAAGTTTTCCAAAAACAATCACTGGATATGGCCATTTTTTTTACTCCATGCTATACATCGTCTTTATTGTTAGTGATCGAATATGGGAAAAAGAACCCGTGTTCTGTGCTTGGCTTGCTGGTCTAGTGGTATGATTCTCGCTTAGGGTGCGAGAGGTCCCGGGTTCGATTCCCGTGCAAGCCCTGTTCGCCCCTTTCGCTTGAAAGAGAACACCCTTTGACTTTGACAACAATTTGCCGATGGTCTAATTATGTTGTATATTTTCTTTGAAAAAAAATGTGATACGTGTTCCTATGACGCGCTATTCCCGTCAATATTGTCATTAACAAATATTCGTTCTGTCATATTTATATTGCTGCTAAGTTATTTTTAACCCTTCCATTTAATTTTATTATTTTCTCTGACAGGTTTTTATATTCGTTCTAATTAGAGTTCATTTGCAAGTTTTTATATTCCTTCTAATTAAAAATTCTGTGCATGTTTTTTTTATATTCGTTCTAATCAAAATTCATTTGCAAGTTTTATATTCCTTCTAATTAAAAATTCTGTTCGATCTGGATATTCTACTTTTTAAAATATGCAAACACATTGCAAAGGTTGGATTTTGAATAGTAAAATGTCGACACGTCGCATAAATGTGGCCAGGGAACGCAATGAAATAGGCCTCGCTAACTTCACACACTCTCTAAGATCGCTTTTTGTTCAAATTCAACAAATTAATACACGAGAAATCGAATCTGAATACCTCGAAACTACAATCTCACTTGGAGGACGCAATTGGTTCGTTGCAGTTACTAGTCGCGAGCATTGGACAAAGTCGGGATCAAATACTAGATGATTTTAATAACCACTGTTCGAGACAATCGCGGATAATTTTAGAAGTAATTGTAGCCTTAGAGCGACAGCAGAATTCTGAAGACAGAGCTGTGTCGTTCGTCTGCCCTACGACTACAGGTCAGGGACGAGGTCCTGGACGGCCTGCCTTAGTTATCCAACGTGAGCAAATTGAATTCCTTCGCGAATTGCACTTTTCATGGGCCAAGATCGCGCAGATTCTCGGTATCAGTGAAAGTACCTTACGACGAAAAAGAGACGAGTTACAGTTATCCACCGATATCGAAGACAATTTTTCAGAATTATCATGTACTGATCATGAACAGCATACATACGTTTTAATAGCCTCGTTGACAAAGGACCTTAATACTATCTATAACCCATTCTCGAGTTCATCCCCGAGACATTTTATTCACTCTTATACCTTAGCCTCAAAAGAGACACATTGGCCGTTTTCACACAAAAAGACGTAATGCGTCTTTAATATTTTTGTCTCGTTATAAAGACGCACAACAGAAACATTATCCGTCTAGACGAACTAGCGCTGGGTCGGTGGGTGGGTGGGCGGACGGGCGGATGGATGCATGGAGAAAACTTATTATCCAATTGATAATATATTGGTTAAGAGAAATTGCTGTCAAACGCAAGACTCTCACATATTTGGCGTCTTTTTCTATCCATTTTAACCACATATGTTGGCATTTGATCAAGGCCATGATTGAACTATGTCCATCTGTATAAGCAAATTGGTCTGAGTCGATGAAATCTTGAACAATGTGCGCAATTTTAGTTTTGTAGACGCATTTCTCAAATATTTCTCAATATGGATGGAGGATGGATGGATGGATGGATGGATGGGATGGATGGATGGATGGATGGATGGATGGATGGATGGATGGATGGATGGATGGATGGATGGATGATGGATGGATGGATGGATGGATGGATGGATGGATGGATGGATGGATGGATGGGCGGACGGGCGGACGGGCGGACGGGCGGACGGGCGGATGGATGCATGGAGAAAACTTATTATCCAATTGATAATATATTGGTTAAGAGAAATTGCTGTCAAACGCAAGACTCTCACATATTTGGCGTCTTTTTCTATCCATTTTAACCACATATGTTGGCATTTGATCAAGGCCATGATTGAACTATGTCCATCTGTATAAGCAAATTGGTCTGAGTCGATGAAATCTTGAACAATGTGCGCAATTTTAGTTTTGTAGACGCATTTCTCAAATATTCTTATAATAATGTCTGTCAAGGATATAGGTCTTAACTGATTTCAAGAACTGAGAGTGGATTCTTTCGGTATAGGTATGATATTAGCTTGCTTCCACATTACCGGGACTTGGGCAACTTTCAATGAAATATTAAATATTTGCGTAATTGTTGGTCAATACGCCATGTTGAAAAATTCTGCTATGTAATTAAACTACCGTGATGCCTTGCAATTCTGCAATCGGCCTCTTTCCAAAACTCTTTCCAAAACCAGTACGGGAGATCATCTGGTCCTGATGATGTTCCTTTCTGTTTTTGAAAATATTTTAGAATCATTTCATCAGTAAGCGAAGGAACTCTGGTATTCTATGGAATTTCGAATAACTCTGGTCTAGCATAATGAGGGTCAGTACTAACACTTTGGAAGAAGCTATTTATTTGGTTAGGATCAATAGTTGTTGTAACTGATATACTGTTATCTTTCCTTCCTGTGACTCTGTTGACATTTCACCACAAGCCTTTTGCTGCTAATCGGTGTTTACGATTCTCATTCTTTACAGCATGAGTTGATTTTTCCGGATAAGATCATTGATCCTTTCTTGTAAGCGAGTATTAGCTTCACTGTTTCTGGCCTCAATAGCTCGCTTTCGTTGTTTTAGCAAATATTTGACCAAAGGAGAAATAAATGGCGGGTCCTTTCTTGACGTTCGCACTTTAATCATCGGAAAGCTTTTTACGAATTTTGGCCAAACACTTAGATAGAATCTTTCAACCATTTGATCGACACTTTGACCTACTGCAGTAATTTCATTCCAATCGATCAATTCTAGTTCAGTTAACATGTTTAATTTTCTGTATTGTCTCACATCTCTAATGTCTCGTGGATAAGCTATAACCATACTATGATCTGGTCTAACCAGACTTTTCTCGACTTTTACCTTTTTCCAAAACATCCAAGGCAACCGGGGTTGACGGGATCCCTGCAAAAATATTGAAATTTTCTAGCAATATTATAAATTACCCCATCCCTGACTTATATCTTTAATCTTTCAACTTTTTCTGGTATATTTGTTGACGATTGGAGAATAGCTAGAGTAACACCTACACTGCGTCCAATAATTATATGCAAAATCGTTTTTTCGCTACATTTCATTTGGTTTTTAGAAATGAAATGTAGTGTATATTATGGAAACATTATTACATGTGCAAAGCTGTAATTCCCGTGTGATGTTTCCCCGTCTCATTTGTGTTTTCGCTTTCCATCTGAAAAAACAATAAGTTAATGAATTTAAATATATGTCTGTTTAAACGGTAAATAAGTATACAAACAATACAATAAAAATGGCTCAATTAAGAAGATTCAAATTGTATTTTATAAAGATACGAGGCATTTGGCTTTTATAATAGTAAGAAATTTTGACATTAGTTGAAGCCGTCGATTCGGTTGAAGATTTATATCAACAAAAACAGCACAACCATGAGAAAAAGTAGAATCGCTTCCTACTTTTCATCTGTTCGCGCGAATATATTCGCCTGGTGGAGAACCGGCTTAACATCCGAGCGTGTTTTAGCAGAAATTGAACGAGTCAGTATTCAATCTTGACTTCACCGACAGGGGGCCTTCCACTTCCGGTTCATAAGAAAATATTCTGCATAATAAAAAGAGATATAACGCCACACCTTTTAAAATTCCTTCACCACGTAGTCAGGACTACCAAGTTTTCAAAAATTATCGTACTAGACGAGGCGAGGGCCACAAAGTTTTCGCGCAAACCCTTTACTAGCAATAGCAGACCGTGGCGTGATTGGCGCGCAAATGACGAATCCCGTAGCGGTAGACGTATAGCTGTAGTCAAATCTAAAGCTCCCCAATATCTCTTTAACGACCCGCGAGAGCCTCACGAAATGGGGAATATCGTCATCTTCTGATTGATCTTTTTGCCTCCATCCGGAGACCTTGCTTCATATAGTCGCTGCATGTCTGAAACCCATACCTGAATCGATTCACGTGGAAACACGACTCGATTCTAAATTTCATTGCCAATAATCTGCCGTCAAAACATTTTCAAGATGTTTTTGCCGATATTCCCGGATTTTCTAACCCCTCAATAATAACTGGTGACAAGTATTGTCATGATTTGATGAACATATGAATTCTAATGTAATACCACTTACGTAGTAAAATTATTGTGTAATATGAAATCTTGTTTAGCCTTTGTAAAAATGTAACCATAAGTAGCCAATTGTAAATTATCGTATAAGCGAGATTTGTAATTGTTTTATATATGTATTACAATACGATATATATTACATATGATATATAATATAAATAATATATATAATATATATAAAAAATACAATATAAATAAATATATAATATATATAAAATATATATATATAAATATATATATAATATATATAATATATATAATATATAATAAATATATATATATATATATATATATATATATATATATAATGTCTATTAAAATAAAATCAATGAAATATTACAAAATTTTGAATATATTGTTCGCTACACTCTGTGTTTCACGTTTCTTCTGAAACGATCATCAGGCGAATGATTACTCTACAGCAGTTAAAGTTTGTGTGATGACGTTTTTGACGTGCTTGCGCTGATACAATTCAAAAATTGCGCGCGCGTTTAAAGTTTTTTGCGCTGAATCTGTTTTTATGTCTACATTTTGCGAAAAGTTCACTTCTTTTGTTTAATGTCGTCTCCTTCGAGGATTTAAGAATTGCCATTTTTTCCTCCAGGCACAGATTGCATGACCGTCCGCCCGCTGAGTAAGCCGGAACGCATTTGATAATTGTCCACTTGATGTTGAATGGTTTGTTTAGTCTTTTTAGGTTCCATGTGTGCTTTGATAGTTCAGTTTCGGATTCGTAGGCTGGGTGGTTTATGGATTTCTTGTGGTTGTAGTATCTGGTCTTGAACGTACCAGCTGTTACACCGATGTAGTTCTTCGACTCAGGAGGATTTGTAGTTGTAATCTCGGCATTATAAACGTGGCTTTCAGTTAGGCATTTACCAAGGAGTGGGCATTCATTCTTGATGCGCCGGTTGCAATTTGTACGATCTGACGAGGTTTTGTTCGATTTCATGATGTTTTGGTTGTGGCTGGAAATAACACTTTTTACGTTTGGCATGCACGAGTAGCTAACTTTGACTGAATTGCGGTTAAATATCTTGTGAAGCTTTGAGGATTTTGGAAAGTGTTTATCGATTATTTGAAGGAATTTCTGCGCAACATTAGTTTTAACGTTTTTACTGAAAGGTGGGTTAAACCAGATTATGTTCCGCTTACGTTGTGAATTGTGACGGTGTTGGCTTGGGTTGTGTTGGTCGGAGTAGGTGAGCCTGATATTATAATTACAACGTTTGAGTGATTCTTCGTAAACCGGTAGACTCTCTTTAAAAGATTTTTCGTTGGAGGATAGTGAGGATAGACGTTTGTTGATTGACTTCGGTATTTGCTTGATGATGCTAGGTGGATGGTTAGATCTAGCGTCAACATACAGTGGCTCGTTGTTTGGCTTACGGAAAGGTTGGTGATTTCCTTCGATAAGGTTGAGTGTGACGTCAAGAAAGTTTACCAGGTAGTAGTTGATTTCCGCAGTGATTTTAAGGCCATAGTCATCAAAGATTTTGTGGAGATTTTTCCTTGCATGGTCAGCCTGACGACCTCCCGTTCCCTCAAGGATGAGCAATCCGTCATCTCTGTACAACCCAACGTTGTCTATCCCAAAGCTTTCGGCTAGACTTGTTCAGCAAGAACAAACCGACCAGTTCACAAACCTCGGCACCGTCGTAACTTCCCATCGCGACATCGAAAAGAGACTGGTTGTTCTTTTTTACCCACGTTTTATCGTTGCAGAAGAGAAGAGACTTGCGCGGATGTTTAATGATAGAGATGTGATAATCGGTGATTTCGATCAAAGATTTTCCCAAATTTTCCACATGACCTTTTTGAATTGTATCAGCGCAAGCACGTCAAAAACGTCATCACACAAACTTTAACTGCTGTAGAGTAATCATTCGCCTGATGATCGTTTCAGAAGAAACGTGAAACACAGAGTGTAGCGAACAATATAGCCTATTCAAAATTTTGTAATATTTCATTGATTTTATTTTAATCGCTCTATTAAATTTTGATATCGAGCACTCTTTCTTCTTGGATACTTCACTTAATTGTAGTGTCTATTATATATATTATATATATTATATATATTATATATATTATATATATTATATATATTATATATTACATATTTATAATATATTAATATATATTATTATTATATTAATATATTATATATATTATAATTTATATATATTATATATATTATATATTATATTATATATATTATATATATTATATATATTATATATATTATATATTATATATATTATATATATTATATATATTATATATATTATATATATTATATATATTATATATATTATATATATTATATATATTATATATATTATATATATTATTATTTATATATATTATATATTATATATATTATATATTATATATATTATATATATTATATATTATAATATATATTATATATATATAATATATTATATATATTATATATATTATATATATTATATATTATATATTATTATATATATTATATATATTATATATATTATATATTATATATATTATATATATTATATATATTATATATATTATATATATTATATATATTATATATATTATATATATTATATGTATTATATATACCGGGTGTCTCATAAAAAAGTATCGGTGTTTGATTTGTTATACCTTTAAAACTGAATAAGGAGTTTCAATCGAATAGACTTCACTGAATTCAGAAAGGCCTAAATAAAATTTTGATATATGATTTGAATATATTTGAGCAATATTGAATGAAATAATACAGTTTCATTTCGAAGGAGCAATTTTGAAAATGCTTAAAATTACATTAAATCAGCCGATCAAATTAGCATTTAATTAAATTGCTGTTCTTGTCAACACAACACATAATAAAAAATATTAACACATTCGATAGTTTATACATCTGAAAAAGCATGTCCTTGAACACCTATACAACGTCGTGCTCTATTAACCACGCCAGAAAAAGCGTTTTGTACCATTTGTGCATCTAAACTTTGGCACGCTAAGATAACTGCCTGGCGGAGCTGTCTCAAATTCCTAGGCTGCTGCTCATGCGGGACGTTCCAGATTTGTTGCTTCAAATATCCCCAAAGAAAAAAGTCGTAAATTGCCAGATCAGGAGATCGAGGAGGCCAGGGCCAATCGGCGCGTTTTCCCATAACCTTGCCTAGAAACTGTCCGCGAAGATATCGCATCGTCGCATTGCTGGTGTGGCAAGGGGCACTGTCTTGCTGCCACCACATTACACGATGGTCAATATTGTGTTCACAAAAATCTCTCTGAATTACATGATAGCGAATAATTCGTAAATACTCTCTGCTGTCGAGATTCCCTTCCACAAAATGTGGGCCAAGAATAGTACTAGCTCTTGTTAAACCTGCCCAAACCATCACTTGTTCGGCACCTTGAACGAATTCAACGTAATGTTCGCGAGGGTGACCGTTACCATATTGCGCGTATCTGACAACATTGCGAGAGTTTACTTCAGAGTTAAGGGTGAAAACCGCTTCATCAGAAACTATTAAATTGATCAAGAAAACCAGGATTTTTGTCAACTGTGCCAACAAATCGATTGCAAAATGCAAGCCGTTGTGCTGGGTCGCCTTCTTTTAATGCCTGTCTGCGTATTAAAACATACGGATGAAATTTCAGGTCGATTTTCACAATGCGATTGAACGTGCATCGACTTAATCCCAGACCATTTCTTCTGGTGGAACGTTGTCCATTTTCTAGCAGAGATTGTCGGACTAGGTCAATGTTTTCCATCGTTCTTCCAGTTCTCGTCCTTCCACTCCATCCTTTATTGAGGTTAAGACATGTGTCTTCTGTCAAAAATTTTTGTACGTTCTTTTAATTGCTGCTCTAGTCGGAGCACGATCACCTGGCCAACGTCCTAGCCATCGCCTTCTTACCTCTTCGGCATTATTTACCCTTGCATACTCAATACGAGCCCAAACTCTTTGATCTTTTGTTAGCTGAAGCATATTCAACTTGGTATAAAATAACGATATCCTAATTCGCTTGCATGCCTGAGGTCCCATGAGGCAAATCAAAGCGTTTGGCGAACTTTGGACAAGAAATGTTGGCATTTTTCATTTCCCACAAGGAACAAAGGTCAAAGTATTTTATGTAAACCATAAAATAATACAAGATTGAAGCTAACTTCTTTAAAAACTTCAGAACTCGCGAAAAAAATAGAAAATGTCTTCAAATAAATTTATTAAGTTGTCTTAATTGATTTTTCGCCAGTTTTAAAACTGAAGTTTGGCTTGAAACATTTATATCTCACTGAATATAAGGTGAAAGATCTAGCACTGTATACCAAAATTGAAGTTAGCATTTTCTTAATACTATAAAACTTATTTGAAAGCCATACCTGGTATAGTTTTTACATCATATTAAATCAAACACCGGTACTTTTTTTGAGACACCCGGTATTATATATATTATACATATTATATACATTACTGCAAAGTGATATGTTAAATTTTCGTTGCAAGGTACAATCCTTTGGACCCATTTTCCTCCTTATCATTCGTAATCATGTAGCCACAAAACACAAAGAAAGATGGAAGTAAGTCGACGATACCAGTCTCTCCGAAACAATTGGGGAATGTGCTCACAGCAATATGCTGTCTATTATCGATGAAATTGACGATTGGTGCACAGAAAATGATATGGTCCTAAATCACTCCAAGTGCAAAGACCGAATTATCTGATTTGCTAAAGACACGCCGAATTTCCAGCGTTTGTTCATTAAGGTTCAACGTGCACCTCTTTATTTTTCGTGTTATATTAAATAATCTAAAGTCTCAAAGAAACTTTCTCTAAATCCCTAAAGCTTAAAATAAGTATAATCTACGTAATAATAAATATCTTGATTTAATTTGTAGAACTAGTCGGTTTCCTAATTTGTTTATGCTGTCCAGTATCGTAGTCCATGTCGTAGTCTCTATCATGTTAATTTTTAATATATAATGTTGTGTAATAGTTTTTGAATGTATATCAGGTTAGTAAAGAAAATTCTGCATGTACAATTCAACATCCTACGTAGCTGCCATTCAGATTTGTTTTAATAAAACCCAAACTCCATAATGTTTAATGCTTACAGCTTACTGTATAGGGTTTTTCATGTTTTTGGGACAGGACTTTCAAGTTACGACCGTTTTCTAAAATCTTTTGAACGAACATTTGAAGCGTCTACCGTTTACGCGAACTAACCAACGACAACGGTTAGTAAATAGTAACAAACTAACGAAGTTAATCGACAGCATTAACGTGTGTTTTCCCGTGGAAGATCACAAACACAAAATAGAAAATATTTTTAGAGAATGTAATATTGTTTGTAATATATAAAAAAGTAATATTGTAATTTAGGTTGCATATATGGATTTATGTTCTACGCTTTACTAAGATTTATCTTACTTTGCCTAGAACAATTAAGTTCCTTTTGTTCCTAAACTTAGTAAACTACACTGCAACAAATCCATGAGTGCAAGTTGTTTTAATAAAAATGCTAATGGTAAACAATACACTTCTTATTAACTTCATCTATCAAATTATAATGATTGACCGTTGTCCGTTGTGGTTCCCGTCACTGCACGAACGGTATTCCAAAAAGAGCTTCTAAAGCATCGACCAGCAATTTGAGCCGCTGAAAATCCAAAGAATGAAACGTCCAAAGCCCGCCGTTTTTGGTCAACATACAAGTGAGGAAATCAATGAAAGGATTGTTGCCATGGCGTTTACGGATTTCATCAACATGCCTACCAGGCATGATGTTTGTCAAATCTTAAAAAGTAAAGTAATCACATGAATATGCATGCAATACTCTATCAACCTAAAAATCGTCTTTTGTTTATGTTTTGATCTAATGAGGGTAACAGGGCGGTATTCAAAAAAAAAATCTTTGACCAACTATTACAACACATAATAATGAACGCCACAAAGAAGACATAATTGAGGCCTCAAAGAAGGGTGTCTTTGTGGACGAAAGAGCAACATCTTGGGAGCTATACAGTGTGCGGTGCGGGGTGGCACCCGGCCCTCGACTATGTCGTTCCTTTTGACACTGCGGCTGTATTTCAATGAACTGAAATCCAACCTCTATTTAATTCGATAATTTTCAAGATACTAATAATTTTTCTCATTCAGATCAAAAGTTTATATTGGCCCAAAAGGTTGGTATTCGTAATCTGGGGCTTACCTTTGATAAAAAATTTTCGTACTGTAAACAATCCTAAGGATTTATATTCAAAATTAAACACTGTTTCTTCGGAATCTAACTGGAGAGTGCCTTTCACCCATTTTGAGAAACCTAGATGCAAAACAAATAAATTAACGATTTAAGATGTGTCGCATGTGCGAAGTCACGCTGTAAAAGTGACCAAACAAAAGGCTCCTTAAAAATGGTTTCAAAATGGGGCTTTAAAATAGCCGTACAATATTTGACCCCTATAATTAAGAATAGGATTCCCCAGCTCGATTGCCGATGCTTTCGCAGCTATATTTCTTCAGAAGCACGTTACCCAATAAAAATATTTTGCTTAATATTCTTGTATGTTTGCATGGCCGGTGACAGTCGTTAAGTAATTTAGCTTGTAGGTACACTACGTAAGTATTTAATACTGCAAAGCTTTCGGACCGTTAATTGCAGGTAATTAATTTCAGGTAATTGCACTGATGAAGGCCCGGCCGGTTCAACGGACCGAAAGCTTTGCAGTGTTAAATACTCACGTGTTGCACCAAGCTAAATTACTTAATATTTTGCTTACTTGAAAGCATCCAGATAACAATTCCTTGCTTTAGAAATTCCACCAATTTCTCTTCACGCCTTGTTCTTACAGCCTGGAAATTGTGGTGTAGAGATTTGGAAAGGTAGCTCATTGCTGCTGTTGTCATTATCATGGATCCACACGTTTCTCCACTAGCTCCATCTCGTACTTTTAGATGACTTCCAGGGGCGTAAAGGAAATCCATTCTCTCAACTAACGTTTTCCATATCTCTGGCTTGCTAAGAGAGAATGACTTAGTTTCGTCACAGCAAACGAATGTCAATACCCCGTCATAGGATACCTTTAAAAAGAGAAATTCTAATTCATCGGTCCCTTAGGTACACACTATTGAGTATTTAATAATTATTGCCAAAAGACAAGAAAATCGGTCGTTACAATGTAAATGTCAAGCAATTCTTCCTTGTTGATAAAATACCATGATAAACTGAATGTTATATACCTTAGAAGGCTGCCAATCTAAATGAGCTTCAGCAGCAGATCTGACTTCGTACTTAGTTGTCTCAATTCTTTCTTTCAAACGAAGCACAATATTCTTTTCAGCAGCTTCATCCTCCAAAACATCAATAACCTTTTCCTGATGTTGCAATTCCTCGTAATAATCATTGACGTCATGTTTACTCTTACCCATTTCGACGAAAGCAATTTTTTTCGAGCAGTCGTCTTGTCTGAGAAGGAATTTATACAATGTAACATGTATCAGCATTTTCTGTTCGCCCAACCGTGCATAATTATTTACGACAAAGAAAAAACAAAAAACCAAAGCAGTGATCTGTTCATGTTTTGGGACAAAGGTAAAGCATTGGTTTATCAAAATTTCTTTTAGTGTTCAAAATTCATTCATCCTGAGTAAACAGTTTGAATTCTCATTAAACAACATACTTAATCATTATCGAAATAACGAAACCAATCGAAAAATATATTTAGGGCTTGGATTCTCGAAGTGTACAAAGAACCACTATGAAACTCAATTTTTAAAAAGAGAAACCAATCCGTCACCGGGTTGAACATCAAAAAAAGCCACCCAAAATGAGCATAATTGGAAAAATTTTTGTTTCCAAAATATTGAAAAATTGTATATTAATTAACAAAGCTTCCCATTTTAACAATTTTAGGATGGTTTGTTAAATATTTTACTTAAAATTTTTCTAGTTTCAAAATTAATTCAAAGCAAAAAGTTCAACGGATGTTTCTCAAACACAGGATCCACTTTGCCAAACATAGAAACTAATTGAAAAACAAGAATAAAAATAACTATATAACTATTTTCCCCGTTGAGTAATATAGGAAAATTTATATTTTTCTTTACCACATATTTTTCCGTTGACTTTAAGGTTAACTCGGTGGTCTTTCGCATCAATTCTTTACCGTTTGTTAGGGCTTTAGGGTGCCATGCGAACGTATCCACCATGAACACCATTGCAACAGTTTCACCATTTCTTTTCAGCTCACTCGCCATTTCGTAAGCCAACAGACCGCCGAACGAGTAGCCAGCTGAAAATGCGTTTCAAAAATCGTGGGCATGAGCGAGCATCCAGCTACAATAACTGACGTAACTGATGTAACTAAAAGACCCCTCTTGAATGACACGATACGGTAAAATTTATTATTTTTAATTTCTAGTTGGTAACAATATAGTTTTCATATAATTTGTTCTTACCAAGATAAAATGGACCTTCAGGCTGGATTTTTTTTATTAAATCTACATATCTACGAGCGAGTGTCAGCACCGTTCCATATTCACTCCTCTCAAATGACGTATCGTCCACTCCAATACCATATAATGCAACATGTGCCTGAAAAAAATAAACTGATGAACGAATGCCATCACTCTATACCAGATGCAAGCATTAAATAATTTAATTTGTGAAATGATGGAGAATCACTTCATATGTACATATAATAATTGCGTATATCCCCTGAACTTGCATTTTAGATAGATAGGATAGATTTAGACACTGCCTTAATTCATGTAATACAGCGTAACTTACTGCGGTAAAGTGTTTTTAAACCACGTATAATTTTTATTTACCTATAATTTTTTATTTCTATCAATCAGGGCATAAAAATGCCTCGAGATTTGCAGTTTTATATGGTTTTTCGTCAAACCAGCGTAAGGTCGTAATTGATATTATTATTGATTGATAACTTTATGCATCTTAATTGATACAAGTTTGGTTCTACCTAGATTCTGATTGGGTAAGAGCCTACAGACAATTTTCACTGACTTGTCACTTACAACGACATTAAACAATTATTAGCTTCGCTTCGGCAGATAGCATTGGCCTTGGTCCAAATATTTCTTTTATTATACATTATAGTAGTAAAAGCAATTTGACTGGCTAATAGTTGACAGATAAATCGCGCAATCACGCAAAATTCAGTTATCTGCTAGCAGATAACTGAGTTATCTGCTAGTGAGCCTGCGGTAGTTAACAAGCGGTTTCATTTGAATTCATTCGTTAATACTATGTTTATTATTCTTCAAATTTATAATAAAACAATTATTGAATTCGGTTTTTGTGATATGCAGAGTTATCAAGGTCTCGGTAAGCGATAACGCTTACCCCGACCTTGATACTCTGCATATCACAAAAACCTCATCCAATAATTGTTCAATATCATGCTCAGCGTCATGCAATAACTTGTTAATAGTTTGTTTTTTTATCCATATATAATTTATGAATCTGATATAATAAGAATCTGATTTTTTACCCTGCAACCGGACCAAGTTGCTTGAAATCGTTACCTGTTTTTGGAAACCTTGCGCGAATGACGCTAGTCCAAGCGCCGACTTTTCGCTGGAGTGTGTCATAAATACTTTAACAAATACGTTATCTGGAGTATAAATTGGAATAACTTTCTCTGGATTTGAAGGAATATTTATGTTCTGCAGCTCAAGCCCATTGTTAATTCTTCCAATCTTAACTGTGTCATTGTAGTTAATTTCAGGTGAAATATTTTTTTATCTTCTTCATCGTTACTTGACAAACTTGGTTTCCTTTGCTTTACTTCTTCCGAGGATTCATTGTCCGCACTCGTCGATTCTACGTTTTCTATTTGTTCCAGAATATCATTAACGATTCTTAGACCATTCACATTTGGTTGGATAAAGTAATAAGCCTATATGTTGAGGAAAAACACCCGAATTAGCATTTCATCCATGCATAATTTTATTGGCGCTTAATTTAAATAAAACTTACATAGAGTGAAGGATGATATTATAAATATTAGAGATAGCGTATTAATTTCATAAATGTGGTTAAATTATGCAAAATCGAGAGAAAATTGCTCGCTTTTGAGACAATTAGAACATTATCCCAACTTATATTTCGCTAAATGCTCGTGAAACGCTCTCGTTTAATAATTGTTAAGTGTCTACTCTTAATAGTGCGTGAATTTCTTTAAGAAATTAGTCGAAAAAGAAGGATAGGTGTTATGAGCTCGTATTGGAAGGAAAAAGATCGTGATTCTTACACACGAGTGCAATTTTCCGTCGTATAACTGATTAGTGCATCGTTTCATTAATAAGTAATAGCAAATTTGGTTTCTCCTACAATTATAGCTACACGAGTAAAAAAAAGCACTTTTGAGTATCTTATAACATTTTTGCTGGCTCATTGATCTCTTTTTTCATCAAGAGACTTACCTCAAATTTAGCCCCAATGTTGTTTTCAATTCGATGTTTCATATTTGTTGCAGCAATTGAATCGATTCCAAACTTGTACAGACCGATGTTTAAGTCCACTTCAGAGGCCTCACTACCTGACCACGAACTGAGCAAACGCCTAATGAAATCTTGAACTTTTTGAATTCTCAAATCCAACGGTAGTAGTGCTAGGCTCTCCAATGTCATTAAATTGTCCAAGACTACCAGCGTTTCTTCTCGTTTCCATTGGAACCTCAGAGAATTATGAGTTCTAAGATAAACTTGCCAATTCACAGGAGATATGCAAACTTGAGCTTCGTTAAAATTTTTAAGAATGATGCGTTCCATAAACTCAGTTGCTGAAAAAATATAGACCTGAAAAATCATTGCCAAGTGGGTGAATAATTATGTATACTTATAACCAATACAATGTTGCGACAATATTTTTGTACCAAAAAATTTGCCACCGATTCAATTCTTTCTTATTGAGTAATTTCATAATGTGCCTAGCTTAATGGATTATTTTCTTGATTTGAAGTAGCTAGGAGTTCTGCAGGAATGTGTTTCAAGTTGTTATTCTGAATATACCTTGCGTATAGTGAAGAGCAAAAAATCCGTAGGTTTCCAGGACTGATGTGATATCTGCATTTCTTTCCAGTACTCCAGCACCACTGATCGGTCCCCAGTTAATAGACAAAGCAGGCAGGCCAAGCTTGTTTCGACGATATTCACATAGTTGGTCTAAAAATGTGTTAGCTGCAGCGTAAGATGCTTGCCCAACATTACCAAGAACTCCAGATATTGAGGAAAACATAATGAAGAAATCTAGATCCATCGAAAGACTGAGTTGGTGAAGGATAACACTTCCTATTAGAAAAATAAAAGATAGCTATATTAAGATATTTTTTAATTAAAAATGGTAATAGTACATGGTTTTCACAATTATTATACGAATTATAATAATATTATTACGGTATAAATGGGAATAGCAATAGACCGAGAATTGCCATATCATGCAAGCGAAATCGAATCGCGCATCGGGAAATTAACCAAAGGTGTGCACCACAACTCTCGGGAGACAAAACTGTCACTTAGAAAAATACGGTCACATACACATTTCAAATACAAGTATATTTTGCGCCAAAACACACTTGCGACGACGAAAAATAATAAAAAAACAAAAAAAAACAAGCGAATTTTCAACTCCGTCGTTCACGCCGGAGTAATTAACAAATGTATTACAAAGAGATTATTGTTCATTATTGATAATTAACAAAGGCATAGTTCATTATTTATGGGTAAAGGCTTTCTTTAAGCACGATTAGCAGAGATCGTGGTAATTAAAAATAAAATTGTCGATCTAGGGTACAATTCAATAGCGTGAAGGGCTATAATGAAAAGACTTACCTTTCACCTTTGTCCCTACAACATTTCTGCATGTCTTCAAATCGGCTTTCTTGAGAAACTGGTCGGCCAATACCATAGCGGTAAAAACGATTCCAGCTACATCAGGTAGACTTTCTAGTTCGCTTCTAATGGCATTCATTTCATCCCAAGATGTGACGTCTGCTTGACGTAGAAGGATACGAGATCCAGTTTTCTTCTCTAATTGTTGGACCTCCGCAATCTTTTCGTCACTTGGTGGTGACCGCGCTGTACACATGACTGTTTTTGCCCCATTTTCAACCATCCATCTTGCGATTTGGAATCCAAAACCTCGAACCCCCCAATGACAAGATAAGTTCGATCATTTTTTAAACCATTGATGTCAAGAGGTAGATTATAGAAATCAACCTGCCCAGGAACTGTCTCTGGCTTCACAGAAATTATGTTTAAACCAAAGTTCCCTTTTCGTTCAACTTCAGGTAGGCATCGGTTATTGGATTCATCGCCACGTTGCATAACATCGTATATGCTCGATGCTTTTTGAGCTATATCTAGAAGCTTGTTCCAAAGCCCTTTCGCTTTCAAGACTGAATAACACGAATCCAATAGCATGGAAAAATCTGCAGAACTCTTAGTTATGTCTTGTAAACTAGTCAAAATAAAGCGAACATCTTTCACGTAAACCCATGAGTTAAGCATCATAATTTCGGCCCCGTCGAGGGTACATGTAATAACACTTGCTCCTTGTTTAAGATGTTTCAGTATTTCACCTGTGACATAAGTACTGCTTCTGCTCAGAAGGCAAACAGCATCAAAATCCTTACAGCTATTATCCTTATGTTCAGCTTTCGCTACTTCGTTTTCACTTACAACCAATAACTCTCCAAATCGATCTTTACTTGACGGATTGTGAACAAGACACACAACATTTATACCTACAGACGCGGCAACGCAAGCAAAAATGTAGCATACTTCTTCACTTTGATGATAGACAAGAACTTTCTTATCACCTTCTATGCCACAAAGAAGATTTGTGAGAATGTAGTAAGACATTGCCATGGGAAATCCAATGGACACAGCTTGTTGAGTGGTGAAAATGGCTTTTATCTCCGTGAAGCAGGTTTCCTCTGCGGCAACGTAACTTCCAAGATTATCAATTTTACAGATGCCCAACACAAAGGGATCATTGTTTGCCTCCAGTCCATTGCACATTTTCCCAGCAATTGAAATAAGATCGTTCGGTTTCAGATCTTTCCAATGCTTATGAAGAATAGGACAGGCATAGTAGACTTCAATTTCTCCAATCCGTTCTTTTGACCCTTTCTGTAGAAACCACTGACCTGACCAACTCGCCATCTTTACAGGCTTTAGTGCTCCATCTTCCCCTAAAGGTGATTCCCTTTTCGTACATTTGGACTCGTCAGGATCAAACTTTTGAATACGATTGACATACCGTTCACCATTTCTATATACAATCTCTTCTTCTAGCAATGTTTTTTCAATGTCTTGTGCAATTGCATGGAAATCTTCATCGCTAGGATTGGCCGGCAAATCAATCACAGAGGCAGTGGGGACAGTGATTTCTTCTGAGAAGGTTCTTCTAAATCCAAATACAGATCCAGACCATGGAAAAGTATCATCAGAACTTCGTTCTAGTTGAGGAATTGAAATCACTCCTGAAGTGATGAACACAAGCTGAATCTGTTTGAGAAACTCTTCTCTCTTTAAAATTTCTTGAGAAATCAAAAGACAGCTCTCAAACGCAGAGCTATGAGCAGCATCAAAGTTGCGCGTATCGATATTGAATTTGCTTGCATCCACAGGCCAGAAATTGATCACCATTAGCTTTTGATTAGCTTCTATTTTCCCCAATACTTTATCTAGCGATCGGGAAAATGCATCACGAGATTCATCTGAGGTATCTTGTTTGTCAACAAAATGAACACTTCCGCTTTGCAGGACATGCTGTGCAAATCGTTCAGCAAATTTACTTTGGTCTCTCAGAATCAGCCAAACGTAATGCTCACGAACTTTTGAAGAGCCAGACGCCAACTGCTGCCAACCAAATGTGAACACTGCGTTATCAAATTTCACTTCCTCTCGATCTGACAGTATTTCTTCTATAGTAAACTGGTCAATAATCATCAAAGCACGGCCACACTGATCCAAAAGGAAAATGTTAAACGCCTCTCCTTTTTCTGATTCTACGATCTTTGCGTGAGCATAAAACTGCTGCGTGCACGTCGTCTGTTTCAAAATGTTGATGCGTTTAATCTCCTTTGGCACAGCTTTAACGACAGATTTGATGTCCAACAGAATGGTTGTCTGTAAACATGCATCAATCACCGAAGGATGCAAGACATATTCTTCTGTATTAGCGATTTCTTCAGTCGGACATATGAGAGAAAGGGCTTCATTGCCACTGGACCACGCCCTGACTATCAAGTCAAACTGAGGACCGAATGCGAAACCCGCAGTTTCACGAGCTTTAAGAAAATCTGCCCTTGACCATTCTTCCATTGAAGATTTAAGAATTTCAATATCGTACGGATTTCCTTTCTGGGAGACTTCTAAAATGAAAAAGCTTTGAATAAGCGTTAAATGAAGATAAGCACTGCGCTTTCTACCTGGACACGACGCCTTGTAGCAATTATGGCGTCGTTTAGGTGCAACCCAGAAGTTATAATAATAATAGCTGTCATTATTTAGTATTTTTAATGATATGGCTATCAGCCATATACGACGAGATCGAGCGAGTAGTTTTTTATATATACTACATATATAGCTACCATAAATACCATTTTATAAGCGAAATAGACATTGCATGAAAACATAACTATAGATGGGCAATTGATGAAACTATGCACACCATTTACAAAGCCTTAATTAAACCATATTTTGATTATTGTTCCCCTCTTTGGGACAACTGTGGGCTGTTACTAAAAAAAAGTGGGAAAGTGGATGCAAAAATCTCAAAACTAAATATAAGTCTAGCAAAGCAGTTCTCGTACATAATATTCTAAAAACGGTACTGCCCCATGCCTTCGCAAATCCTTTTCTGAGCGAAGTGTAAATGAAAATGGTTATAAACTGAGAAATTACAATACTGATTTCTTAATTCTGAGACCTAAGAAAGAGTTTCTCCAAATAAATTTTAAATATATAGGAGCTGTATTATGGAACTGTCTTTAGCATGAAGCTAAGTCTGCTCAATCAATTCGCTATTTCAAGAGGCTCATAAACTCAGTGAAGCAGGCCGATCTATATTTATTGTGTCAACACTTATTTGTATATATTATAGCTCATAATTCTATTTGTATATGTCATAGCTCATAGTGTAATTAAGTAGACGCCCCCCGTGGAAATCAGTGGTAACTGACGGGACTAGTGTCTGTAAATAACATTTAATAATAATAAAATTGATTTCATTTCAGTCAATCTTTCGCTGAATGATTTCACTAAATGATTTTCACTAAATATATATTACATTAAAACATCCGGCTTCGCATCGCGATTTAAATATTATAAAATGCTCCCTCTCGTGTTTTAAATAGTTACCTATACATCACTATCACGCTTTGAGGTTATGATCACTATCACGCAAGATTAATATCACTGCATGCATACTGCATAAGTGTCTATACCATGGTTGCGATGTTTGAATAGATCAAAAGTTTAAGGTATTTTAAAAAACTGTCCAATCACATTTTGTTATGGAAAACTTTTGATGGATTTATTAGCATTTAAATATACCGGACATCATGTCAAATTGGGAATTGCAAATCAGTTTTCTTTTGTTGAATTAAGTTGCACAAAATTCCTTATTTGACGTAATGAAATTCCTTATTTGACGTCATTCCTTATTTGACACTAATAAATCCTAAATTTTTCAATAATAAAATGCATTGCAAAGTTTTTTTTTGAAACACTGTACATTAAACTTTGGTATAGGCATTATATTTATACAATTTAGCTAGTCTTATATCACTATCATTTGCGTACGCCGTTCAAAATATTTGCTAGAAATGTATTCGGTTTACCTTTCGATCTATATCCATCATCAATACCAATCTGAATGGAACCCTGAGAGACAGTTAATTCTCGCTCGTCGCTTTCCACTGCAGAGATCTGAAATGATTTATTTCCACCAAGGGATTTTTCAGGTAGAAGACGTGTTCTTATCTTGTGCGAGTCATTCTCGGATATGGACAGTAGACTATCGAAACTGATGTTTCGAACATCAGGCGCTGCCCGTGGAGACAAGTGCAAGGACATAGCAAATACAATCTCTATATAAACAGCGGCAGGTATCAAGGGGTTTGAAGATTGAGAAAATTTATGATCCTGGAGATACGAAACATCGTGCAAATTGATTTCAGATTCCCAAGCCAGCAAACCACTGAACGTTTCCGTCGGGACTACTTTACCAAGAAGGGATGGAATTTGGTGGTTTTCTTATTTTCTTCATTAGTCTTGTGCTCATCGTAAAATGTAACACATTCTGGTGGATGCGATTCGCGGTACCAATACTTTGTTTCTTGCCAAGGATATGTTGGACGGGGGAAAAATGTTTTCGATCCCGAGCCTTGCACTTTGTTCCAAGATAAGGGAACACCATTTGCGAAGAGGCGAGCCACGCAGTTTTGAAGAAATGATAAGTGCTGGCTTTTCACTGATTGTTTTGGTAGAGTTTGAACCACAACGACGTCGTTTGAACGTAGAGAATCTGACGGATGATTGTGAGACCAAGTCTGACGAACATGGTATGAAAGCTGAGGTACTGCGTTTATTTCAATAAAGAACCGGTGACCATCCGAAAACATCTTTTTTAATACGGGCTCCAGTAAAACCGCTTGTCGGATGTTACGCCACCAATGGTCAAGTGATAAGAGATTACCGGGCAACTTAGTGCCGGTAACAGTTGAATAAAATGGCACATTGCTTGAAGTTTCACAAACTTTGAAATCCTTTGTGAGATTAAGGAATGCTTGCTTTATTTCATCCATTTCTCTACTATGGTATGCTCGAGTCGTAGTAAGTTTCTTCCAAAAAAGATTGCTTCTTTCACTGGACACATGGTTTTCCACCAGCTCCATTGACCTTTTGCTACCAGATAACACAACATTACCTGGGCTATTCACGGCGGCAACGTCGACCTCATTTGTCAGTTGAAGATCTTGCAGCATATGTCGAGCTTCCTTTTCTGTCATCCCAATGGCAGCCATACATCCTGTTGGTGAACATTTCTCGTGAAGTTGAGAGCGAAACAAAACCAACTGCAAAGCTTTATTCAAATTTAATGCTCCAGATGCCCAGGCTGCAGATATTTCTCCAAGACTATGACCAATAACCGCGGACGGTAAAACACCCCATGATTTTAGTAGCTCGGTTAAAGCAAAATGTATGGCAAACAGAGCCGTCTGTCCGATTGGATTTTCATGAATTCGCGACGTTTCTGCGGGTTTCTTGAGCTCAGAAATCAAGGACCAGGGGGCTTGGTATTGTTTAAGGAGTGCGTCAATTTTTTCAATGCTTTCCTTGAACTTTGACTCATGAACTAGCATTTCTCTTGCCATACCATACCACTGTGCACCTTGACCACCATAGAGGAATACGACTTCACGACGCGGCTTAGTGACGGCCCCTGTAGCCACCAATTTTCCCATCCGTTTTCCTGATCAGAGAACATATCTAATGCCTTAGCTGCATCTTGAAATGAATAAAGCTAACCGCCAAGCGATAAAGTTGCATTGTGTACCTTTCGTTGAGGGAATAACAAATATTATCTTTAAGAAGTTCGTCGTCATCAGGCTTTATCTTTAGCGATAAGGACACCTTTTTAGCCATTGCTCTCAATGCTTCTTTCGACGCTGCCGACAATGTTAGAACTCTGTTGGATGAATTTCTGCTTGGGATTATAGTTGTTGGCTTTGTAGTTACTTCCCTAATGATTGCATGGGCATTTGCGCCGCCGAATCCATACGAAGATACCGCGGCGGTTCTCGGCTTATCATCCTCGGTTTTCCAAGTTTCATTGGAAACTTGAACCACCATTTTTCTTTCAGGCATCATGAGCTGTGGTTTAACTTGTTGAACATTAATAGTAGGAACAAATTGGGCATGTTTTATCATCAGACATGTCTTGATTAGTCCAGCTAAACCTGCTGTTGACTCCGTATGGTTTACGTTTGATTTCACTGATCCTACACGAAGTAATCTTTTGCCACTATTGCCATAGACTGCTGATAGTGATCCCATTTCGACGACATCTCCAACGGCTGTACCGGTGCCATGTGCTTCCACGTATGTTATATCGTCCTTGGTCAGACCTGACTCTTGAAGAACTCTCTTAAAAAGAGCGGCTTGTGTTACCTGACTAGGTGCTGTCATTGGAATCGCTGTTTGGCCATCATTATTTGTTCCGCAAGCCAAGACCTCTGCATAGATATTATCTCTATCATCTAAGGCTGTTTGGGTAGGTTTTATTAAGATTGCAGCTACACCTTCTCCTCGCCCATAGCCGTCACCTTTGATATCAAAACATTTGCAACGACCATCTTCGGCTAACAGCCCAGTTCTGCAGCATGCCGTGTGAAATTGGTTTCCAATGAGAATTATATTAGGGGCACAAACTATAGCTGCGTCACACTCGCCAGTTTGTAAGTGTTGAAATGCAATGTCCAAAGCAACCAAAGACGAGGAACAAGCAGTATCCAAAGCGATGCTAGGGCCAGTTAGGTTAGCGAAAAAGAAATGCGATTGGCTATAACTGACATAGAGCAGCCAGTTGACGAGAACTGATCAATCTTTCTAATATTCGAATGATCAAAAACCAGTGCACTATATTCCGTGCACATAGATCCAACATAAACGCCAGTTCGACATTGTTGTAAGTCCTCAAGGGTATGCCAGCGTCTTCAATCGCTTCAAAGACAACTTGAAGAAGTATTCGCTGTTGGGGATCCATTGAACGGCTTTCGCTTGGAGATATTCCAAAAATTGAGCATCAAATCCTGTAATATTTTCAAGAAATGCGCCGGTAAGGACGTAATGCTTCCCTGGTGTGCTTCCCTGGGTTAAACGAATCTGTGAACTCCCTTGCGTCTGGCCTGTTCATTGGATAAGAGCCAATACTACATCGCCCTTCCACCAACATATCCCAAAATGCATCTTTCGAGTTTGCACTACCTGGAAAACGACAACTCATTCCGACAATGGCAATTGGATTGGACTGTTTGGTTTTTGCGTCTAATTCAGATAAACTTCGGCTTGTATTTCTACTAGATTTGTATCTTTTCGTAATGTTGAACCACTTCATGATTGACAAGTCAAGGTTACTTTCACGAAGATTAAAGAGCTTTCCAAGTAGAGACAGGTACACAGGTAGTATCACCAAACCATGAAGTAAACCAAGAAAAACGATACCAACAAACATTTTGAAAAACGTCTGAAATACCATGGAGGAGGTAAATCCCGTTGGCATCATTCCAAGGAATGTGCTAAGCCCACCTAAAAACACACTGCCGCCTACCTTGCTTAGAGCATCGATAACACGGAGTTCGGGAGTTGTTGCCCTGGAGAAACAAAGTGGAAAGCGACATGTGCGTTGTAATCTACAGAAAATCCCAAAGCCATAACAAGGTTGATCATAGAGATTGAGTTCAAAGAGACATTCCAGATGTACATCAGACCAAATAGTTCAAATATAAGAGCACCGAATCCCCATATAAGACAAAATATTACCACAAAGTGATTAATAAACAACCACGATATCAAAATAATTGAAATTCCAGCAACAACCAAGTTCTGATGGTTTCATTAAGTACATGAGCATACTGTTCAAAGTATATAAAAGGCAAGGCAATAGCAAATGCACGAGCATCCGTGGAACGGAGATCCTTTCGAATGCTCGCCATCATATTTCTTTGAAAATTTGAGTCAGGATCACTTTTACAATATACTAGTATCCTTGAAGCCGTCAAATGAGTTTATCTTTCGAAAATTTTAGATCCTGGGCAAACCTTTGATACTCCGGGAGTGAAATAAACTCCTTCAAGTAGTGATGGAATATTCTCGTATATCGATTTTGATGTTTCTATTCCGTGCCCACGACGTATATTGGGATACCACGATATCTTCTTGGAGAAAAATATTGGTTACTTTCAACAAGAGTTTCAACTTGGGAGTATATTTTCTGAATTTCAATACTCGAGTGATCAGTTTTTCTGGGAAAATTATGCTAACTTCGATATTAAGGTTAAAGTTTTCTTCATAAACATTTAGGAATTTTCGGAAATGTGAATCTTTCGTTGTTAACCACTTCCGGTTAAAACTTTCATCGAGGCCAAGAGCGCCATAAATTCCAAAAGCTAGGAGAAGTAGTGAACCTGAGAACACAAAGATTTTCCAACAGGGGAAGTAATTAGTTTTCCCCATGCTTTCATAACGTTGTCAAAGCCACTTCTCCGAATTCCAAAGCAACAATCAGTTGGAGGAGGACTCATTAGGCAAGGCAAGAAATCTCTGCGTCGAGCGTTGATTCTTTTAATATCGAACCACATGCAACCAACAAAAAATGTCAGCAACAGGATGAAAACAGATGAAATTGCAACAGCTGTGTAAGTGCAGAAAAGCCGAATCGAAGGGAAGATGGAACTACTGCTAACGGCAAATGCTACAAGATCAGTAAGGGTTGTCATGGTAATAGTTGGACCACTTCTAGCCATTGTCCCACTTAGCATATGCATTGCAGGCAAATCTTGACGGATCATTTCATTAAGTTCGTGTAGAATAATAAAAACATCGTCTATGCCGAACTTTAAAAACAAGAACGGTAGAACACCAACCATGCTGATAAAGGGAACACCAACAATCATTAAGAAGCCAAGTGCACTCGTGACACCCAAGTAAATGGACAACAAGGCACCATATCCTAACAATTGATGACCAAAACGAGTATCAG